TAGAATGGCTAAAATTAAAACAGACAGACAATACCAAGTGTTTGTGTGCATGTGGGGCAACTAGAATGTTCATACACTGCTGGTGAGAATGAAAAATAGTACAATTTTCCAAAACACTTAAGCAATTTATTATAGAGCTAAACATACACTTAACGTGTGACCCCACAATTCCACTCATAGGTATTTCCCAAGAAAAATGAAAATAAGTCTTCACAAAAAGTTACATATGAATTTTTATAGTAGCTCCAAACTAGAACCAATTGTGTAGGGAACAGACTCTAAGGTGACTCCCATGATCCTCACCTCCTGGTATTCAGGCCCTTGTTCCCTTGAGTGTGGGTGGGTACTGTGACTTGTTTCTGGACAACGGAGTATGGTAAAGGTGACAGAATGTGTGTAATTACACATGTGTCGTTACAATATGTAAGACTGTAGTGTCCACTTGCCTTTGAGGAAGCAAGTAGCCACGGTGGGAAGACCCATGTGGCAAGATACTTGAGGGTGGCCCCTGGCTGACCACTACTAACAAAATGAGGTCCTCAGTCTGCAGTCCATAGGAACTAAATGCTGTCAACAACCACATGAGCTAGGAAGCAGATCCCTCCCCAGTCAAGACTCAGATGAGATCACAGCCCTGGCAGACACCTTGACTGCTGCCATGTGAGATTCAGCTAAACTGTGTCCTGACTCCTGACCCACAGACTCTGTGAGACAATAAATTTGTGTTGCTTTAAACTGCTAAATTTATAGTAACACAGTTATGCGGCAATAATTAATACACTCCAAATGTCTATCAAGTGGTAAACAGACCAACAAATTGTGGTATATCTATACAATGGGATACTACACATTAGTAAAAAGTAATGAATTACTGATATATACAACAATATAAATTTCACAAACAATATTGAGCAAAAGAAGTGACACAAAAGAATATATACATTATGAATTCATTCATATGTAATTTCTAGTAAAGACAAATATAATCTATAGTGATAAAAAGCAGTTCAGACTTCCTGAGGCCAAAGGCAAGGATTTACTGAGAAGCAGCATAAAGGAACATTTAGGAATACTGGGATTCTTTTGATCTTAATTGTGGTAATGTTAAACAGGTATATACATTTGTCAAAACTGACCACATCTATTGGAATTCCACAGTAAAGATTTTGGCCACAAGGACTTTGTCACTCAATGAGCTATTAATCTATGGATTTTAATTCAGGATAGTGGCAACCTCTGGGGGATTGGATAGTATTGGGAAGGACACCAGGGAGGTTTCTGAGGTCCTGGTAATGTTTGATTTCTTGATCTGAGTACTGCTTACACAAGTGTGTCTACTCTGAAAATTCACCAAGCTAGACACATAATTTGTATACTTTCTGGGTGTATGTTAAACACCAGTAAAAAGTTTTTAAAATTTTTAAAGGTTAGGGAATCATTCTAAATTAATACATACTAAAGAGACAAAGCAATGCACTCCCTGTTTCTTCAATGGATCCTGATTTTTTTTTAATTGGGAAAATTTGAAAGTGGTCTGTATTATTAAATAACATTTTATCAACACTAAACTTCTTATATAATAATGGTATTATGGTTATGTAGGAGAATAACCTTACTCTTTTTTTTTTTGAATAACCTTACTCTTATGAGAGACAAGGTGAAGTATTCTAGGATGAAATATCAAGATGTCTGTAATTTACTACCAAATCATTCAAAAAATATATTGATTTACAAAGAGACTGAGATAAAGCAAATTCAGCAAAATGTAAACATTGTGAATCTTGGTGGTTTTGTGGGAGTTTTACAGGAGTTCTCTGTATTATTCTTTCAACTTTTCTATAGGTTGGCAATTTTTCAAAATAGAGGGGCAAAATAGCTTGTTTGAGCTACTGTTAGTCAAGAGTTCAGTAATTTCCAAAACTGCATACAGAGATTGGGAGAAGGAAAGTAACATTCACTGAGCACTTAATGTGCACCACATACTCTTAGTATCTGTGATTTCAGCCAACCCTCAAAGCAACCCTCTAGGGTAATTATTATTACTCCAGTTTTACAAAGAGAACTGAGGGTCAGAGACATGGAGTGACAAGTCCAAAAGTGAGTGCTGGAGTTCAAACAGAAGTCTGTCAAGACACAAGGCCATGCTCTTCTGCTCCATGTCTTTGCTGTACACTTCTTCCTTCCCTTCTTCTGTTTTCTCAGTCCAAAATTTACTATATCCAGTGAATATGAACAGAACTGAAATCCACGTTCTGTAATAATTCGCAATATTCAATAATCATTAAACAATCAGATTGAACCATGCCTCTGCTCTCCACTAAAGACAGAAAAGCTGGTGGAAAAGTACAGAAATAGGGATAACATTTCCCATCCCTATGGGCCATAACATGTACTGACTAGAAGGGACTTCAATAAGAGATTAGCCATGCAAAATAGAGTACTGTGGAGTAAACAGAACTAGGATATGAAGCAATAAACGTAATCCCAACAAACTGGTTCTGAGGAGAGACTAAAGGACTACGCCATAATGAAAAAGCAAGTATATCTCTGAAATCTAAAAGTCACAAAGAACAAGTAGGATAAACACGAGCATTCAGGGTGTTCCTTTAAATTTCAAGGAAATTACTTTAGAGTAAATAAAAGACTAACTTTAGTGGACTGGTGGTCAACAATATGAAAAATCACCCCAAAAGATGTTATAATAGGATTAAGGAAAGACTTAGATGGTTTGTGAGTGAAACTCCAGAGTTTGTTGAGTGGACTAACAATAGATAACACTGTTAGGCACCGTTCTAAAATAGTTAATTCATTTAATCCTCAGAGCAATGCTATGAGACAGGAACTAGTATTATTCATATTTTACAGACAGGGAAACTAAGGCCAGAGAAGTTAAGTAACTTGTCCAAGATCACACAGCTGGTAAGCAGTGGGGCTAGGGTTCAAGGCCAGTGGGGATAGTTTCAGACTCCATACTTTTAACCACTGTCCTACACTGACTTTCAAAGGAAGTATTGGTTATTTATCCTAATCTTTCAAAATGAGAGACTGACGCCACAAGGCGAACTAACAAACTTTCTGAGAGACAGAATACTGGCTCAGTCCCACAGGTGTAAAGCGTTCTTCTCACATACAAACCAGGTCTGGGGGAAATAGCCAAACAGTTCTTTCAGTTCCACTCTGCTTTATTAAAGAAATGGGAAACCAGCTGATCAGGACTTGAAAATGAAATAAGCAGCAGCAGCTAAAGAGAGTAGGTTCACGTAAAACGCGTGCATTTGCAGCTTATTGTCAGATAGTGACAGGATTTGGCATGAAGTGCTCAAGTTTTTCCCGAAGCTGCCAGCATGTTCTGATGCAGTCTTATCTCTACCAGCTTTGGAAAGGAGGGCAAAGGAGAAGCAGAACTGAAAACCAAACAAGCGCTGGCCAAGCCCCCTTAAGCATTGTAAGAGAGAACAATTTCCAGAACCAAAGCAATCCTTGGGCACTGCAAAGGCTCTAAGTGGCAAAATTTTTAGTAACCTTCACAGCACTGACAAATTAAATGTCCTGGCACCCTTCAATCCCAGCCTGCGGGCATTCCTAACATTTAACAGTTCAGAGAAGCCCGGAGTCTGAGGAGCCTCAGCATTTCAGCAAGCTAAGTGGGGTAAGGCAAGAAAGGAGAGCCCCTCCTCTCAGGCTATGCCCCACAATCCAGAATTTCTGACAGTGAGAAGACCAGAATCAGCCCTAGTTATTTCCCATGTTTTACAATCCAGACATCTCTGAATCATTCGCTTTGAAGCTGGTCTGGGGAACACACAACTCCTCTAAGTGCAATTCCTGTAACAGACTCGTGAAGAGTGAAAGAGTAAGAAACACTAAGTGGTGTTGTTCTGCCAAGGAAGGAAGTGAAATACCAGGAGGCCGCTAAAAAGTCCACAGGTGTTTCAAGGCGGTGAGAGATGAGTGATGAGGTCCAGGCTGAAACCATTTTCTTCCGCCTCTGTCTAATCCTTACTAAAGTTAACGAGTGGAGTCACACACACCAGGCTTATTCAGGCACATGATTCGGGGCTTGTTAACAAGACCCTAGTATCCACTCCTGTAAAATGGCGGTCAATAGCCTGTACTTCATAAAGGTTGTAATGAGCGTTAAGCGAGATAATAAACGTAATTTGTCCTCGGCATGATAGCACACACTCAGTAATTGTAAGGTACCGCTTACACCCATCCTCCTCACCCCAGCCTACCCCACCTTTGGACTACAAAAGCCTTCAGAGGCCTTATCATCCACTGCTTCCTTACAGCAGATGTAAGACATGAGGACGGGTCCTCGCGGTCTCCTAACTGGAGTGGAATTTGGTTGAATCTGTGGCTGAAAAACTGGAGCCCTGGACCGAGAAAACCAAACTCTGGGAAACAAGGATGGATCACTAGAGAAAAGCTCGGTGGCGTCTGTTGTTTACAGTGAGTCCCCTTCCTATCAACGCACTGAGAGGATCCCAATACATTCCCGACTCTCCAACTTGGCAGGGGAAGCGCAAAGGTGACTGAAGACGGCGAGGCTGGCAGCGGGGCCACCCGGGAGGCTGAGGCTGCTGGCGAGTGGGAACCCTGATGGAGTCAGGCCCTCCCCGGAGGGAAGGGCCGGGAACGATCCAGCCTCTCACCCCTCTCCTCAAGCAGGGGCCCTCGCAGCTCAAGGTTGGAGGCTTCTCAAGGGTCCCGCCACCGTCCTAGCTAAGCTCAAGTGGGACCCGTGGGGCTGGCCAGCGGGAAGTGGGGACCCAAGGACGCCCCCGAGCCCTGGCTCGGGAATGTGGTCAAAGAGGGGTCACCGGGGGAGGGGCCTGGCGGCTAGGACCTGAGGAGGGGCGGGGCCCCGGAGGGGGCAAGAGGTCGGGGACCCCGGCTGCGGAGGCTCAGGGTACCCACCCGGCTCCCCAGTCGGCGCCGAGCGCCCCCTCCAGCCGGGGTCCCTGCCAACCGCGGCGGGGCGATCCCACTCCCCTTACCTGGCTCGGGTGCTCTGCCTGCTCCGAGGACGCCATCTTTCTAAGGCCTGACTAATCTATCGCTGCTGGGCGAGGTTTCTCCCAAGCGCCCTGGCTCTCGTTCGCTCGCCCAGACAAAAGTAGCCGGAACTGAGCCTGTCGATGGGGGCCACTAGGGAAGGAGAAGGGAACTCCCGTGTCACGGTCACCAGGCAGAGTTTCCATCAGGTCTCTGCTTTCCAAGAATACTGAAGTCTGTCCTTTTTGCATCCTTATATGTGTGTCATTTTTATTTAATTAAATCTTTGTCCATCCCCACAATGCTTGGGCACATGTAGGGACTCGCTAAGTATTTCGTAAATGACTGTGAAGAAATTTGGAAAATAATTGATTAATGGTTCGGTTCAGTACCATTTGTTAGGTGCCTACTATTTGCCAGGCACTAGAAATAACATCTAAGACTCAACCCCTGTTCTCAAGTCTAGGCCAAATACACAAACACAATTACAGTATCTTGGCAGCATGAGGGGCTTATTAGAATACAGAAGAGGGTGCTTTTTGGAGAGGAGGAGGTTCTACTAATCATTATTTAATAGCAGTTGAGTTGTTAGATTTTAAGCTAATTGTAAAATTACACAAAAGTGTTGCATACATTAGAACTATCAGTCAGTTCATTTTGCGGTGGTGTGTTGATCAATGATAGAGTTATTCAAAAGGGTTTCTTCTGTTAATTCCTCCTACCAAACAGTTTTAAATGTCTACTTTTTAATGAGATAATATCGATTTCCTTTCATAAACAAAATATGAAAGAAGTTGACCCTGAAGAAATATGGATTTGTTTTATTTTGAATAAAATATTTGAAATATTTCTTGTTTATATAAAATGCCCCCTTTTAAGCAAGGAGATTTTTGATAATTTAACATTATTTTCATCTTAAATGTTAGTTTTTCAGGGGTAAAACCAGAGACTTTTCCGTAAGTAACAGTATTAGAACAAGGACGAATATGTTGTCAAGCAGCACCTGGATAATCTCAACAGTGATGTGGTTCGCATTTCCCATTTTCTCTCTGATTTCTTTGAGACCTTAATGTTTTAATCTAGTTACTTGAGCATTTCGTCCCGAGGTCCCAATCTGATTTGCACAGCTGAAGCACAGAATCGAACGACTGGAAATGTCCGAGTATCTTATGCTTCTCTGCTGTTTTCAGGAAGACTGAAAACTACACTCAACAATTTTTAAAATTGACTTCCTTCAGATCAGCCTGAAGATGAGGACAGCTTATAGATCTTTTCCGGTTGGAAAGGGAAAACAAGTTAACAGAGTACAATATCAGACCGTTTTGTTTAAGTATTAGTATTATGCATCTATATATGCAAATAGAACTGTTCAAAAGAGTACACCTGCGTGTCCTTCATAATGCAAAATAAATCCCTCGTGATCTCTTGGTGAATGCACGATTGCAACTCCTAAATATAAGATTGGGGGGCGGACGGACGGACACGGACACGGACACACACACACACACACACACACACACACACACACACACACACGGAGCCGCACGTGATTAGCGGCAACTGGAACTACATCTCCCGGCGTGCCTTGGTCCCACGCGTGATTTGCTACAGCGAGAACTACATCTCCCAGCATGCCGCGGGTTTGGGGCGGACTCCCGCGCCCAGCTTCCCTGAGTTCGCTGCGTGGGTTAGGTCCTACCCTGAAGAGGATGGAGGTGGCCAGTGGCGCCCCGGCTCCGGAACCGGGCGAGATCCAGGCTCTAAAGAAGTGTCTTCTGCGACGCAACCACAGCCGGGAACAGCACGGCGTGGCGGCCTCCAGCCTCGAGGAGCTGAGGAGCAAGGGTTGGCGCGGGATTGGGGTGAAGGCTTTAGTGGCTGGGGCCGGGGCTGAAGGAAGCTCGGGCGGGGTGAGGATGTCAGGCTGGGCAAGGTGGTGTCTGGAGAGGCGACCTGGGGCTTCTTGTGACTCGAATGGAGCCTTGAGCCAGAAATGACTCATGTGGGATAGCGACTTGTCAGCTTCAAAGCGTTTACAAACGCTTTAACTTAATGTATCTCGTGTGAGACTCAGATGTAGAAAGGCAGACGGGAAGCAATATGCAAATTAAGGCAGACTTCGATATCTTGCCTCAGATGACTCAGATTTGGGATCAAACCCAGCCCAGTGTATTCCTGGCATTCGGGCTCCCTAAGGTGGTACCGGGGTTCCCAGCTGAGCGTACGGCGGAGTAGGGTCAGGTCTCCACCGTCAGCTCTGGCAGGTACCTATGCAGTAAAGAGGGAGCTGCTACCCACCATTCCGAAGGTCCAAACAAGGAACTTGTGAGTGACGAGTTCTGAGCCCCATACGGTTACTAGCTAGCTGCCTGACCTTGCACTTAACCATGTTTCGACCCACAGTTTTCTCAAGGGCAAAGTGGGTATGTTTCCAGCCCTGCTTCACAGGATTGTTGGGACTCTCCAAGGAGATGATATATTCAAACGACTTACAAGTTATTAGCCTGTGGCAATAAATTGTTTACCCAAATACATTCTGTAAATTAAACGTGTGAGTCATTCGCAAGCATGTAGTTAGGTGTGTGTCACAGTGCTCAGTGCTTCCTCCCAGAATCACCAGGTCCCAACAGATATCAGACTGAAGTCTTTCAGAGACCCAGACACAGCCAAAGCACTCTAAATGCTTTAGTGACATGGCTTTTGCCATATGGGTGTTTACCTGTTTTTTTCTTGGCATTAGGGTGCTTAAGTTTTAGTGCCCTTTCAGTGCAGTGGCTGGATGCACTTGGCACAGAGGCTTGTGTAAGTGCTTATGTTTCTGGATCTCGGCCTGTGCAAGGCCTGCTGTTCTATTTGGGTGATAGACAACATTGGCCAATGGTATTTGTAGTCTCTTGGCTACCTCTCTGCATACTCTAGTCCCATTAGCATTTTAGGCATTGCCATTGCCAAATGGGATGGTACAGACCTGCCCTGGACAAAGCCTCTCGCCCAGTGATCATAAAGATAAAAACCTACTGTTACAAGCTTCGGCCTTCTGTTTCTCTTATACTTTCTTATAGGTTAGTAAGACTGCAAAGAAAAATCCTGCAAAGAACATATTTTTTTCCTTTTTTTTTTAAATTTCCTTTTTTTCTTTTTGACATTTGATACATAAGATTGTTATGAAATTAAATACTATATATGAAAAGCACTTAAACAGTACATGTGGTACTGTTAGTATTATATTTCAGGCACGTGGTAAGTGTTATATCAGTAGTAGTGGTCATCATTATAGTCAGTTTTACCTACCAGGGATTTTTCTAGGCTCTGGGGGCATACATATTGAGAATACAAGGACAGATGTAATTTCCCTATGTAACTTGTCAATTACCAAATATTTTATTCCTCAGCCTGTGACATTCTGGCCATCGATAAGTCCCTGACACCAGTCACCCTGGTCCTGGCAGAGGATGGCACCATAGTGGATGACGATGATTACTTCCTGTGTCTGCCTTCCAATACCAAGTTTGTGGCATTGGCTGGTAATGAGAAGTGGGTTTACAGCAATTCAGGTAAGAAGTGCTGGCCATACATAAAATATACCACCCATCATGATTCATTTCACTGCACGGGCACCTGGTGGCTGTTTGGCTGCGTGCTTAGGCATTTGTGCAGCAAATGTTTACTGAGCACCTTCTGTGCTGAGTCTTGGGGTGAAGATGGATGAGGCAGGCTCAGTTCTCAAATAGCTCAGACCGACAGCAACTAAAATGCAGCAGGGCAAAAAGATCTGTGCTGTAGGTGGGGTCAGACTGTCAGGCCGGAATCCTGGCTCTGCCATTTGCTAGCCATGTGACCTTGAGCAAATTATCTAACTGTTCAGCCCTGTATTGAGATATTAATTATTGTACCCATCTCCTAGGGTTGTTGTAAGGATATTAGAACATAGCACATACCAAACGAAGGTTTCTCAACAACACTGTTGGCATTTTGGGCTGGAGAATTCTTTGCTGTGGGGGTGCTGTCCTGTGCATTACAGGATGTTCAGCAGCATCATTGGCCTTTACCTACTAGATGCCAGTAGCATCTCCTCACCCCAATTCTGACAACCAAAAATGCCTCCAGACGTGGTCAGATGTCTGCTGGGGAGCAAAATCACTCCCAGTTGAGAACCACGGATGGAAAGCATTTAGATCTTACCTGGTATACAGTAAGCGGTCAGTAAATGTTACCTGTCATCATCAGCACTGCAGATACAAAGGGAACTGGTACGATGAGCAAGGATCAAAGAGCTAAAGAGGTGTCTTGAGGAGAGTCCCTGTGCCACTAAAGGAAGGAAGTCACCCTTCAGCAGTGGCTCTCCCAGCCACCTTTGTACTTGGGCCCCAGGGACAGCACAGAGTACCTACAGCTCCTCCAATCAAGGATAAGACCCATCCCCACGCACAGGAGAAGTGCTGTTAAGGATGAATGTTTTTGTATGCAGAAACAGCACACCCACAGACGTAAAAACTAACCGGAAGGGAAGTGTGGGAGTATCTCACATGGCTGTACACTGGATTTAAGTGGCTTCTTTTCATAGAAGAATACAGAGCAGTTTCCCACGGAAATAACTTGAAGATGGGACAAGAGGGGAAATTAAGGTCCCAGATGGGGATTGGCTCTCCTGCGAATCGCTGAGAAAAAGTGCTTCCTTCACCATTGAAACTATTCTCAGTGGTCTTTTGGAAGGATGTGCAGACATCCTCAAGGTCTGTGTTGGGGGAGGAAGTGAAAACAGCACTTCAGGTCAATCTGACTGGCATTTTCTCCCACGTGTCAGATGGAGGTACAGCTTGGATTACCCAAGAGTCCTTCGATGGAGATGAAACAGACAGCGGGGCCGGGTTGAAGTGGAAGAATGTGGCCAGGCAGCTGAAAGAAGATCTATCCAGCATCATCCTCCTGTCAGAGGAGGACCTCCAGGTAAGCCTCCTCCGAAACCCGCAGCCACGTTCCTCTGGCCTCTGCTGCCTCCAGCACCTTAGTTTCCATGCATCTTGCCATAATTTCATTATTTTGTAATTTAAAAATTATCCTTAGATGACAACCAAGGCTCTCCATTGTCTAATT